TGAGTAGCTTTTCAAGCTGTTTTTAAAAAGCTCCTTTCTACCCCACAGCTCTCCATTTTGGGCTCCTCAGAGGCTATGCGCCAACTCTTTCAGCTGTTTTTTTGTCATGTACCTTTCTGACATGTATTGCCACTTCTTGAGTTTTCAAAGCTAAGTAAGCATTACCCATTGACTTTGTGACTTGGAGGTCAGGGCCATCTCCTCCAAATTCCTAATCTGTCATTAGTTTCCTTGTAATTTTAGTGGGATTGATATGTGTGCTCACATCCATAGTTTATATAAATGCTATTTATAATGTAAGCATATAGTATATTATAAGTACTTGTCTGTGCCTATAGACCCTTTTGCTTTCCCTAGGGCTAATCATTTAAATTTTGCTTAGTTTACTGTTAATTCTCATGAACTCAATTCAAATTGTGTCCCCACTCTGCTGTGTAACTCTCCTCTCAAGGCATTCACAAGTACTGGGTTTATCAATTCATTTACTTTAAGAAAAATTTCTGGAACCTTCTAATGTGCACAGGATTCCCAGTCATATCCTCCACCCTGCCCTCAGTATTTCTCTTTCTCATCTTTTTCTTCATTTACTTCCTCATTTGGGTAAAGCACCTCCCCAGCCTGAGAAAGGGTGCATGGAGACTTTGAACAATCTGAAAATGTCTTTTTCACCCCTGTATTTAATTAAACAGTTTGGCTAGATATCAAAGTCTAAGTTGGAAAATATTTTCCCTCGGAATTTTAGAGGAGCTGGGCTACTGTCTTCTAGCTTTGGATTTTGTTGGAAAGTCTGGAGCCACTCTAGAGCTTGATTCTTTGTATGAACCTGTTTTTCCTGTCTGGATACTTGAAGGATCTCTTTTGTCCTCAGGTGCTCTGAAATTTCCTGCTGAAGTGTCTAAAGTGTAGGTCAATTTTCATCCACTGGTCTAGGCAGCTGATGGGTTCTTTCAATATGGAAAACTGTTCTTAATTGCTGGGAATTTTTCTTGAATTGCTAATCCCCACTCTTGGTGTTTTATTCTTCTTTTCTGATACTCCTATTATCTGGATGTTGGACTTAACATCCTTCAGTTTTCTTATTCTTTCCATATTTTCTGTCTTTTAACTTTATTTTCTGGATAAATTTATCTCCCAACACTGCTACTGAGTTTCAATTTGTATTAATATATATATATATTTTTTTTTTTTTTTTTGGTGCTGGGGACCGAACTCAGGACCTTGCACTTGCCAGGCAAGCGCTATTCCACTGAGCTAAATCCTCAGCCCCTGTATTAATATATTTTTAACCTCTAAGAATTTCTTTCTTTTCTTTTTTGAAACTAAGCATTATACTTCTGTGTGTGTGTGTGCATGTGTATATATATATATATAAACACAGCATAATGAAACCAACCAAACACTTGGAAAAGGGGGAAGGAGGAAATGGATATATAATGGAAGGAGTGAGCATGTTCAAGACACACATGTATGGGATTTATCACAATGAAATCCCCTTATGTTAATGTGTGTTAATTCAAAAACAAAATTAAATTAAAAAAATTAACACCTGGGCTCCACTCCCGACTAATATAGTCCAATCTTCAAACCTGCCCCAAGACTCAGAGTTCTGCAGCAAGGACCTGCGTTCTTATTCTTCTTTCTCTACAGACCAAGCTAACCCCACTAAACCAATATCCAAATCAAAGAATCCCTAGCTCATACTTTTGTCTAGATCAGACTTTTGTTTCTGAACTTCAGACTCTACTTAGTTGCTTTCTCAACACTTCTCCTTGGTATCTCTCAGAGATCTCAAAGCACATGTGTTCAAAATTGAATTCCCATTGTTTCTCCAAATTTGAGCCTCATGTCTGCCATCTCCTGTTACTTAAGCCAGAGGCCTGGGAGTCTTCCTTGGCACCCTCCTTCCCCTTTTATTCTCATCCACCAGTCACTGAGTCTATCCTGGTGTACTGCCAAAATATATCTTCCAAATAGCCACTGGTCACACTGGGCTGTGCCTTGGTCCCCTACCTAGAAGATAATAAGCACCATCAACAATCTTCTAGCTTCCAGTCTCTCCTCCCTCTGATTAGGTCTTAGAGCAAGGGAGCTAACTTGTTCCTTAGGTTTCCATAAAACTCTCACACCCTCAAAGAGACTCTTTCTGACCTCCCAAGATCAGCAGTCTCTGTCTCCTAGGTTTTACAGCTTGGATGCTTCTCCTTACAGCTCTGTTGCAGGGGTGTGACTGTATCTTACACAGTGGGGTTTTGTTGTTAACACTGGTCTCTCCACTAGAGTAAGGGCCAAGACCTCTAGGGTACACAGTTCTGGACACAGTACCCGGTACAAGAAGCATCTGGTGGACTAAATAATAAACATATGAGTGAGACACGGCATCAAAATTCTTCAAAAATGGCCTGATGGAATAGCTCAAGTGATAGTGTGCCTACTTAGCAATCATGAGGCCTTGATTTCAAACCCCAGTATTCACACACACACACACACACACACACACACACACACACACACTACTTTCTCTCCCTCTCTCTCAATCTCTCTCTCTTTCTCAATGTATTATCGGTAACTACAGACAGTCCACCATAATGGGATATATGTTAGTGTACCTCAGGCCATATTTTGGATTCTTTTCTATGCTACAGACTCTCTTAAAGAACATTATTAGGCCAAATGTATGAGTATTTAAAATATTTAAGACAAGGCAAGAAAACATGTCATTTTCTAGAAAGACAAATGTATTCAGTGGTAATGTTTGAGAACACACATTACAGCTATGTCTTCTGGCTTGTTTTGCTCCTGCTCATTTGTTGGGGAAGATGGTATGCCTTCTCTGGGCCTCCCTGACTATGGTGCAAGGCTATGAATGAGAATTCCTGTTCTGAGTATTTTGAGAGCAGAAATGATATCTGAATCTTCTTTGGGTTTCTTTGCCATTGGGGACCTAAAACCATTTGATGATAGTTTATTGAATTAACTTACTTAGTCAATTCATACAATTGTCACATTTGGTATGTGTAGAACTCTGAAAGTTCTCACTTTTCTGGACTTTCCTCTCTTTGTATCACATCTTTGGGTTTTGCCCAGGGTTGGCTTTGCTGCCATCTTGCTAGGGAGAAGAAACAAAGAGACAGGCTAGGACAGGCTACCCTGTATGGGTAGAGGGCTGATAACTGCAGTTTCTTAGTCAGCTACTGCAGGTCCATGGCCATTGGTTAAACACAGGATATTATGTAAGGCCTACTCTGTGGAGCAGTGACCTTGTCCTCCCTCCTACTGTAGGCTCCAAAGGGATGGAAATGGTTAGTGGAAAAAATGATGCAGTTCAGCCATGCAAGGATGCTCTGTGAGGCCACCACCGCCTAGCAGAAGCTCAGACCATGGACATGTGGGTGTCAGAACAAACCCAACCCAGGGCAGAGTGGGCTGGGGTCATTTACTTTTCAATTTTGGCCCTATTCTGTGGGCCAAAATCTGTGATAAAAATACAAAAAGAAGACAAACAAGGGGGATCAATCTCCCCATCTAAGCCCTTCGAAGAAAATGCTATCAGAGCAGCAGTTGAATCTCAAAACCATTTGGGATGTCAGCTGTGTTTCAGGCTTCTTATCACAAATCACCTTTCCCAAATTTTTCTCCTTCCCAAGCAGTCTTTGTTATTTCTTTCACCTTGAATTTCTCCATTTCTACTACACTCTTGTTTTCAGATGTGGCCACTCAAACCTTTCAGGTACAGACTGATTTTCCTCCAATCAAAAGATTATCCTGCCACATGCCACCCTTTGGTCCCAACCCTTTGTCCTCATCTACTTTAAATTCATCTTTTTTGTCTTCAAACATATGAACTCAGAGTCAGCCTCAACCTTCATTTGAATCTCTGGGCACATCATCCCTAGAAAATACCAACACTGGATTTCTCTGAGATAGACCAGTACTTATATTTTCACAAAAGCCCACCTCTCCCATAATTTATTGTCCCTCTTAGTACATGGGACTGACATTACTCAGTGTTCTTGGAATACCGTATAGGCAGTTTGTAAGTTCCCAAATCAACGACATTAATTCATAATAAGGCTGGCTGTTGGTCCCAAACTGAGCTCTCTTGCTGGATCATCCCCTTTTATAGATATGATCCAATGATGTTTGACTATTCTCACTGGTCGTATGTGCCCACCAAGGCAAGCATGTATTTCTACTGAAGACCTTCAAAGCAAGGGTTACAAGTCCAAAGGGAATTTCAAAGCAGAGCCTTCAAAAGCTAACTATGCACCAGGAAAGCACCAGCAGTGAGTGTCTGTGGGTTACTGATCAGCCACTGTGAAGGGGACAACCCTCCAGGACCACGGTTGTGTTTACTGAGCCTGTGACATTCCAATCCTCATGCTAGGCCCCAGTGTTAATCTTAGGACCAGTCCTATGCTGTGAATGAGGAAACTGAGACTCCAAAAAGATCAACACTGCTAGGAAGCAGAAGAACTGAATTTAAAACAGGCAGCCTGATACCAGGTGCACCTGGGCTATGTGGCCTATCTGCTGATCCCATCTAACTGCACTTCAGAATGTTTCCTATAAAGTTCAGGCCTACCCCTTATCCTTCCTCTCACTGCTGCAGGAATCAGGACATGGGCCTTCTCTGGGAAGCTCTAGAAGGAATAAGCACTAGTTCCTTGCTAGGCAAGTGTCTACCACTTGAGCCACTTCCCCAGCCCTAAGCACTAACCCGTGAATGCTTTCTTTGTATTTCTTGCTTTATTTCCTACAAAGAGTGAAGTGACTCTGGGTCATGTCAAAAAACCCGAGACAATGAACTCTGTGGCATTCCTATTTATCAATAACCTGGGCCACTAGTGATCATGGGGGACCCAAGCAGATTCCTGCACCCGCAGGTCTCCTTTATGCACAGCCTGCTACCAGGCTCCTTCAGGTCCTGCCCCAAGCTGGGGTCTCCTGAGTACTGAAAAGACCCAGGATGCAGGGCCCTGGGCTACGCACTCACTACTCACCAGCACTGGGGTCTGTAGGCGTCTCACCCTCCTCAGAGTCTTCGTGCTCCTGCATGGCTGGTCTTTCCCCACGCTCCATCTGTGACATGAGGTCTGGTTTGGAAATTGCATAGTCTGGGCAGAAGGAAGGAAAATACACTATGAAAAGAGGTGGCACTGCATGTTGGTGACATAGGAACAGCCCCTCTGCTGAGGTCTGGCAATGTTGGAAAAGAAACAGTCAAGTGTTTACCCTCTTTCCTGGGGCGGGGGGGGGAGGGTGTGTGTGTGTGTGTGTCCAGGTTTTTATGACAAAAAACAGTATTTGAAATTTTATAAAGTAAAAAACAAATCCTGGTAAAATTCAAAAGGCATAAAACAAAACGATGACTGATTTCTTTACATTGAAATGGTTTACGGGTAGGGCAGTGCAGCTCTGTGGTAAAGCCTGTGCTTAGCATGCGTGAGGCTCTGGGCTCAGTCCCCAACCAGAAGTTTAAATTTCTTTTGAAATTTAAAGATGAAGAAACTGCAAAATATTATACACATATTTATCGTATATGGCAAATTGTTAACATTCATAATTACATATAAAGAACCTCTATAATTAGTAAAAAAAAAAAAGAAAGATATAATCGGGTAATTTATAGAAGAAATACAAATGGCCAGTAAATATATAAAAAGATGCACAAGTTCACTAATCATCAAATAAATACATATTAAAATAATGATGTATCATTTTTCACCTATCAAAAAGACAAATATTTAAAATAGAAGAGCTTGGATCAGGCCAGGGTATGGAGAAATGGTGTTTCATGCATTGTTGCAGAAACCCGTAAACTGGTTCATGGGCTCCATGACAATAGCCATAAAACTGCAATGTAAACTCTTTACTCCATACTCTCGAAACTCTCAGGCAAGTGCACACACAGAGCTGTTGATCACAGCACTTTGTAACCATGAGAAAGACAGAAGCAACTACTGTTCACCAACAACAGCAAGGTCAACAGCCAGTGTTTGGGTACTGCACTGTCTCTCTAAGGAAGTCCACATGTGCTGCCGTGGCAAGCTGTCCATGGCATACCAATCAGTACAGTATCTGTACAAACCCCACCGTGTGTTCAGCAAACATGCATTTGTGTGCAGTTCACACATGCACAGAAAAAGATGAAAAAAAGCAGAATCAGTGGTAGTTCTCTCTGGGGGTGGTACTGGTGAGTGGGTGGAGGTTGCTCGATTGTATCAGTCTAATTGTTGAATTTTCACAATTATGTATGTATTAAAAAAAGAAAAAAATAATTTAAAAAATGGGATAAATGTCAGGTGTTGGTGGCTCACACTTGTAATCCTAGCTACTCAGGAGGCAGATCTGGATCAGGAGGATCATGGTTCCAAGCCAGCCCCAGGCAAATAGGTTGAGAAATCCTATCTCAAAAAACTCATCCCCAATAAAGGGCTGGCAAGGTGGCTCAAGCAGTATGAGTGGTCAGACTCTGAGTTCAAACCCCAGTGTCACCAAAAAGAAAAAAAAAAGGAATAAGGTTATCGAATGAAAATTATATATAAAATTAGCAATTTCTAGCATGAATCAAAGTTTCTATCCAACAGTGTACTACTTAATGTTAAAATTTTTTTTGGTATATGCCAAAGAGTTCTTCATAGCAGAGCAAAGGATACATATAAAGTACATTTTCCAAGTTTTTGTCCCTAAATATTATCTTTTTGGGGCGGGATTGGGATTTGAAGTCAGGACTCTGCACTTGTAAAGCAGGCACTCTATTGCTTGAGCCAAGCCTCCAGTACATTTTGATCTGCTTATTTTGGAGATGATCCCCCCCAATCTCTGCCTACCAAGTAGCAAGGATTATGAGGGTGAGCCGTTGGCATTTGGCCTTCCCTAAACATTAATAAAAACAAGAATCTACAGACTTTGGGTTAAGACAGACCTGTGTGACTGATTAGGACCTAGGGTGAGCCTTTAATTTCCCTACTCACAGCCTCTTCTGTACAATGGGGATGAGGACCTGTGGGATGTCAGTGTTCAGTCATTTGGATAAGAAAACACGGAATGCTATCCCTTGTCTTATGTCCCTCGTGGCAGAGCTGGGCTTTCTTGGAAAGCACTTGGCATTCTGCTGGTATGAAGCAGGTTCTTGGTACGTCTGTTTTCTCCCGTTTTTTTCTTGTAAGAATTTGCTGGACAAATGAATTTTTAAAAAAGAGTCCGTGGGAAAAATACTCTGATGGTGAGAGACCCCCAATGTCTAGGTCTGCTTCTTCCAGCAGCACCAAGAGCTAATCTATACAGTGGGGTCTCTGTGTACACGCTGTTCTGACCCGTGCTGCACTGACTGAAGCAGGTATACAGGGCATTTGTTTTAATTTGTTGTGCTCTCTAAAATTTTATTTGCCTTGCTTTCCTCTGTTGGTGCTACTGGGGGTTCAGACCCCCTAAGTTTCTGAAAGGATCTTACACCAGTGTCAAGGTAGCCCCTTGTCCTTACCCATGGAAACCAGAGACTCGTAGTTGCCTCTCATCACATTCTTGTAGAGCTCCTTCTGCCATTCAGATAGGTTTCCCCACTCCTGCTCAGAGAAATGGACGGCGACATCATCAAAAGTGACAGGGACCTGAAACCATATAATGAGGTCAGCCTGGACCAACAGGATGGCAGCCACAGGCTGTCAAGTCCCAAGACACTGGATTTCAACCCCCTCCCCTCCCTCAGGACTAGGAAAGCTCAAACTTACACCCTGAGTCTTCATCAGGATCCCTCTGGAAGTCAGGCCACTGTCCTGGCTAGAGAATGGGACCAGTCTTGCCTGGTTCCTTCCACTTCTCAGGACAACCCCTACTGCTTTAAAGCATGGTTTGTGAACCAACAATAGCAGCACCAGGGAACTTGCTGGAAATGCAGAGCTTGGGCCCCACCCTGGACCTAACTCAGCTTATTGTTAATGAGATCTCCAGGGGTTCATGTGTACAAAAAGCTCAAGTGCTGGCCTGGAGACACAGTCCACTCCCCACCTAAGGTTAGGCTGTGAAATGGGGCAGTAGCACAGAGGAACAGAAAACCAGCCCATACTCGAGCTCCTTCAGAACCTTTTGGAAAATAAGATTAAGACCTGTTCTCTAGCTTTTAAGGGTACCTCTTAAAATCAGATTTACTGGTATTAACATGAATTATAAGTGAACTGACAAAAATGTTGAGAAGCACAGAGCTTGTAACATTTAACCTGTATTCTCCCTCTATCCACTCCAAGGATGAACAATTAATTAATGGAAGGTATTAGATCCAGAACCTCCAGGATATGAAACCTAAGGATGCTGAAGTCCCTTATATATGATGGTATAGTATTAGCAAAGAGCCTATGCACACCCTCCCGTACATTTTAAATCACCTCTAGATGATCTATAATACCTAACTCAACGTAGGTGCTAGGTAAATACTTGTCAAACTATATTGTTTAGGGAATAATGACAAGAAAAACATTTCTATGCATTCAGTGCAGATGCAATGTTCTTTTCTCACATATGCTCTATCCATGGCTAGGAGAACCAGGGATGCAGAACCCGAGGGTATGGAGGGCTGACTGTAAAGGCTCTGCCTCTATCCTCAGGTATCATGAACCAGTCTATTGACTGCCCCCTTGCCTTTCTAAGAGGACCATCACCATCCCTGGGCTATTTCTGTACCATCCTGTGCTTTTATCAACAGAAGAACTAATTTGCTTTTGGTGCATCCTGTTCTTGGTGAAGAAACACTGGCAACTAGTGATCATGACATTTTCTTTCTCAACCATCATTTTCCCTTTCTTTCAGTTAAACTAAATTCCTAAAATGAGTTCTGATTCAGATCATTTACTTGGGAATCCCCAGGTGGGATAGGTGTACCTTGGGAACTTCTCCATTGCTGCCTGGGGGCAGCCTCAGGATCCAGAAATTTCTGTTTTTCAGCAGGTTCTCCATGTTCTCCAGCCGCCTCTGCAGTAGTCCATACTCCTGCAGCAGCGTTCCCAGCACAACCCACTTGCTCTCCAGATGGTTTGCAAACTCCACAGCTGTCTTCTCACAGTCAGCTATCTTTTTTTCATTTGTCCCGGTCCTGCCCTCCAGGGTCAGTAGCCTCATGGCTTGGGCCTCTAGTTTCCTTTCCACCGCTTGGACGGCAGCCCACATGGCCAAGCGGGTGATCTCCGCTGTGGGCAGTGGCTGTTCCTTCTGAGCTGCAGGAGAGGACTGGAAGGGGATGTCCTTTTGGGAAATGGGGCTCTGAAGCAGGGGGTCCATGTCAGTCTCAGGAACTGTAGGGGAAAGGGTCAGTGGGTCTTTCTCAGGAACTTCAGGGGAGTGGAGTGAGGCTTCCTGATGGTGGGTGGAGTGGGTCAGAAGGGGTAGTTCCTGTTCAGCAGCAGTTGAGAGGGGGTACTGGGTCTCTTCCTGGGAAGCCAGAGGGCCCTGATGATGCGTGTCTTGCTCAGAAGCTGCAGGATATAGGAGTGAAGGTCCCTTCTGGAGGGCATGTGGCATCTGGCCTGAAGTCTCTTGCTTGGGAGCACTGGAAGTCTGGGGCTGGGAGCCTTGCTGGGGAGTGGTGGGAGACAAAGAAGGAACTTCTTTTGGGGGAAGAATTCGGGAAGGGAACAGAGTTTCTCGCGGAAGTCCAGCAGGAGCCCGATGCAGGGTTTCTTCCGGCAGAACGGTGGAGAATGGGAGAGGTGATGAGCGTTGGTTTTCCATATCCAGCTGCTGGACCTGTGTTCAAAGAAAGATAGGACAAGACAGGATTGAAGGTCACCATCTTCAGCTGGCAAAATAAATCCCAAAGATAAGCTCTCACATTAAAAATTCTTTAGTTTTTGTAGCAATAAGATATGCTACATGAATGCAAATCTCTTAAGACTGCAGCACTGATTTAGACATCAGTAATAAAGCTATTATGAACAACAAATAAAAGACAGCTATGCCACCTTCTATTTTCTATACAGCCATCTTGTTGTTCACAACACACATTTCACAGCTATCATCTTATGAGTGGTGGTGAGGTGAGGGTATTGGATGAGGATTAAAACACTTGGCTCTATCAAAACCTATGGCTGCCTGTGTCATGCTGGCCTGGTTATTTGACCTCTCTGTTCTTAGTGTCCTAATCCATAAAAGTCTGCAGAGGTTGGATAGGCTTCTGGACATGTGGGAATGGCTTCTGCTGTAAGCAGAGAGAGACCTGGAGACAGCTGAAGTAGATAATTTCAGTCTTCTACAGGAGCCTAGGTCTCCTGAGCAGATGGTTCACTGTGATAGGTGTACTCTGCCCGGTTTTCCTCTCTGTGGTTCCTGAGATGGGGAATGAGGAAGAAAGAAGGCCTGGAAGAGTGGGAAGCAGTGCATAAGCCAACCAATTTTGAGACTTGTGTCAAGAGTGGTGGGGACTAGAGCCAGAATAAAGATCAGTTTCCTTTGGGACTTCAATGAGCCTCACTCTCCATTTCCCACCGTGCCACATCCATGTTGAAAGAATTCTTGAACCATCAAGAAGGTGAAACCATGCTCTTCTGAGTGATTAACTCTGTATTTACCCATACAGATAATCATTCTTTACTTACTGGACAATATTTGTCCATCTCATAGTCTTTCTTCAATGAATCTGCTCTCTCACTATGCTCTATACAAACTGATCTCTAAAGTAATTAAAACTTCCATTTTCTTTATTTGAAAATTAGCATATCCTGATATCCAGCCTGACATATAGTATATATACTGATAAATGACTACATAGTAAACTGATGAGTTACAAATAAAATTATTGGGATAACTAATGAAGTTTCTTCAGTTACCTACCAAAGACTTGTATAAACCTACTTCATAGCTTCTAAACTTCCTTTTTTTAAACTTGTTTGTTTATTCATATAAGGTGGCTTAACTGAAACAGCACCATACTTCTAAGTGAAGGACTGAAGATTCAAGACCCTGTTCAGCAGAAGATCTTTGAGAAATGATAATCCAATAGATACTTAGTCAGGAATAGCGATCTGCCGTGAACTGTGATGAGCATTTTAAATGATCTCACTTAAGCTTGACAAAACCTACGAAATAGGCACTACTAGAATTACTATCTACACTTAGCACATGAGGACACTGGGGACTGAGGACTGGAGGGGCTAAGTCACTTGCCCCAGATCACACAGCTGCCTAGCTCCAGAGCCCATAGGTTGACTCTGGGCTTCAACTGTCAAGGGAGGCAGCTGGTAGGTCTGTGCTCTGAATCAGAGGCTTGGAGGTTCACACAGACCTGAGGGAGTTTTTACTACTGTGTGGTCAAGGTAGGATGTCCCTAAAGACATCACCATTTAAAGTGGGGTCAGGGGCCCCCTAATGAAAACTTAATGAAAGTTCTGGGTTCTCCTCCTGAAAAAATAAATAAGGATACACATGCAAAATTCTGCAAACACTGAAGGAGTTCAAAGACTCCCTAAACTTGAAGGTTGATCAATTTAGCTACCTCTCAGCCCTTCAGTGTTACAGATGAAGGTAGGACTGGATGGCTCCTCAGGTAGGAGCCTCACACAGAGGTAAAGGGATTATGCAGGACAACACAATAGGCATATTATGGCTGTCTTCAGGGGGATTAGGGTATTTTCCAACAACTAGTAGGAAGAGAGGAAAAATCCCTGAAGGCCAGGTTAGCCTCAGGAGTAATACAGGGATTTACCTGAAACAATGAAAAAAGAAAAACAGCTCCAGTGCAGTAAGTACAACAGTAAGCAAAGCATCTTTGCTACACCGTCTAATCAGAGCTCAAGTAAAAATACTATTTCATTGGTCTCTACTATGAGACTGTCCCTCTTCATTTAGGGATTTGGAGGACTGGTAAGGGATGAGGAGGCACAGGAGGGGTTTCCTCCCTAACCCCTGTTTATAATGTCATCAGTCCCAGTAAACCTGTGGCTTGATCTTACCTAAGCAAATAGATTTAAAATGAATAAGCTCAGATTCTCAAACTGCTTGGCGGGGGGAGGATTCAAATTCTTCTGAACCATTTCTTAGGATGAAATTTTCTTAGGATTTAATGTCCCTTCCTTCCCCGTGTCATAAGTGGATAGAGTCTCTTCAGGATTCATGCCATATTAGTAGAAACATGCATAACCACACATATCTGACTTACTACAAAGCTGGATCGTTTTCTTCCAAGACCCAGGATGGTTCACCCAGAATAACATACCATATTTAAAGGGCCTTGGAGACCTAAGCCCAGAGGTATGCATGTAAAAAACCTTTATTTCATCTTATCTCCCAGGGCTTTTATTATTGTAATTATTTTAAAAACTGGGAGGCTTTTAGGAAGTCATACATCCCACTCCCTTCCTGTACACAGTAGGAAACTGAGACTCAAGGCACGGACTGCCGTGCAGTAAACCTAACTAGTACTGCCAGGGTGGGTACCTCAAAGAGCAGGGGGGTGGGAGACTAGGGGGAGTGAGGGCGCTTAACCATAGCTTTTTAACAATGACCCACTGAATAGGAACCTCAGCCCCTAGGTCCCTCAGGAGCTCGCTCCCCAGACTCCAAGCATCAAGGCACCCCAAGTTTGGCTCAGGGCCCTCCAGGCGGACGAGACCATAGAGTCCCTGCTCTCCACCACGGAGACGCTGGGCTAGGCGCTGCCCGGCCTCCCCCTCCTCCCTCGACGGGCCACCGCCTCCGCCCGGCCAGCCCCGGACACCCTCCAGGTGGGGGTGTGTGTAGGGGACCGCCGCCAGAGCCGCCCCATCCCCGTCCAGATTCGCAGCCCGCCGGGCAGGCCTTTCCGGGGCTGCGGGCTCCGTGCCACGGATGACTCGCTACGTGACCTTGGGGCAAGCAGGGCAGGTCGCCGCCAGGTGTCTGTGCCTCAGTGTCTCCGCTCTGCGAAATGGGAGAGCCGCGTCAGCGCCGCGCCCAGGCCGGGAGAGGCTCCGCAGGGCTGAGCTCTGCGGAAAACGTGCCGGCGGCCACCCCGACGGACGCAGAGCCGGCTCCGCAGGGAGCGAGCGCGCCGCCGGCGCCCCACCTCGGGCCGCGTGTGTCCCGGGCCCGGCAGCCGCGCAGCCTCGCACGGACGGCCGCCGATCCCCCCGCCCCCCTCCGCCCGGCCGCAGTCGCAGACCCCCGCCCCCACCAGGCGCGCGCGAACCCTCCAGGGCGCCCCCTCCCCCGCCAACGTCGCAGCGCTGTGTCCCTTACCGAGACCCCAGGCCGGGCCGCCGAGCCCGGGACACGCAGGCCGTCCCCGGGGCCCCGAGGCCGCGCGTCCGTGCGCGCTCGGGCCGCCCTCACCGGAGCCGGGGCCGCCTCGGCCATGGCCCTGCGCTGTCCGGCCCGCGCCCCGCGAGTCGCCGCCGCCGCCGCCGCCGCCTTCGCCGCCGCTGCCTTCGCCGCCGCGCGCTCCACGCAGGCCCCGCCGCCGGGTCCTCTTGGCAGGCGGCGCGGCCCGGCCCTGCCTTCCCCGCCGGGGCTGCGCGGCCGTCGGGCCCCGGCCTGCTCGGAGCGCGCGGGGCGGGCGGGCGGGCGGGCGGCCGGGCGGGCGGCGGCGGCGGCGGCGGCGGCGGCGTCGGAGCGGGGCGCGCGGCTGTGCGGGCGACCCAGCGGGCTGCGCCCCGGCCGCGAGCTGGGACCCGGCGCTCAGCAGCGGCCCCCGGCCCGCGCGCCGCCCCTCTGCGGCGGCCGCTGCGACCCCCGGCTCCGGCCCCGGCCCCGGCTGCGAGCTGCGCTGCCGTCCCGGCGCCTCTTCAGCAGGGGAGCTGCACAGCAGCTGCCATGTTGATACAAACTGCATCCTGGGAGGCATGTCCCTCTCAGGCCGTTTAAAGAGAAACACTCCGAGGCTCGTCGGAGGCTGCCGGAACCCAGACAGCTCCATCTACAGCCGGTAGGAGCGAACAGTGTCGAGCGAGCAGCCGGGACGGACACGCCCTGAGCCCGGGCAGCCCGTCGTGGAGCCCGGGCCGAGCCGCTGGGCCTCCCCCCCCCACCCCGGGACCCTCGGGCCGCTCACCTGGGCTCCTCGCCGGCCCGGCACCCTCGGGCGACACTGGAGGCGGGCGGCAGCGCGGAATTGGGAGCGCGCAGCCCCGGCGACGTGCTGGGGTCTGGAGGCGGGTCGATTGGCTCCGACAGCCTGCCTCCCGCGGCGCCCTGCGCCTCTCAAACCCAGGACCCGGGGTCGTTCCCTTTCAAAACCTGCGCGCACAAAGGGATCTGAGAAAGCCGTCACACCAGAGAGAGCCCGGAGTTCATGTGACCGGCGCGGTGCAGCCCGGGTTCCAGGGAAGCGGGCTGTCGTTGCAAGGGTAGCACAGGGGGTGGGTGCTTTTGTGAAAAGCCTGAGTGTTGTTTTCGACAAGAAGGGACAGAATTCCTAGAATCCTTGAGCGCTAGGGCTGGACAGGCCGGACGGGTCGTTTAGGAGGAAACTGAGGCCGACTGGGGAGTGACTTGTTTACCCCAAGTTGCAGTTCCTGCCCCTTGTCTGAGCTCTTTCTAACCGTGAGAGGTGTCCCAAAAGGAATGGTGGAGCTTCCAACTGGCGACCCCCTTTTCCTGGACAGGTTCACTTAAGCACATGTTTACTGGCTGCCAAGGAGGTGGCAAGATCTGGGAGTGAGATGAAAAAAAATAAAACGGGGGGGGGGCGGGGGAGGGGCGAGAGTATAAGCAGGCGTCCTGGTTACGGGTGATGAAACTCTACTGGAAGTAAGGGAGGAAAAAGCAGGATGTATTTGTTCACCTCTTGGAACTCCAGGGAGGTCAGAGTGCCGTTGGCCTTGGAAGGCAACAGGAGAAAGAGCCATACATTCAGATCTGTCTTTAAAAATGGAAAGTGATGGATGAAGAGAAGGCCAAGGTCACTGCATCCTGTGTCATTAAATGTCTTTATGCATTTCCTACCACCCACAAACAATGCAAACTACATGCACAAAATACAAACTACTGGCTTGGTATTTTAAATTTTTTTGCAAATGACATTATTCAACTCCTATCCTGATGCTTTTTTTTCATGGATCGTTGTGCTTTTGAGATGTAAGCATGTGTAAACAAGCCTATCTGGTGTATTCATTTTAACCACTATATAGTATTTCACTCAATACTTAAACTCGGATTTACTTTCCATCCCCTGAGGGGAATGAAAACAAACTTGCTGCCAGCAACAGTCTGCCTACACCTCTCATGGTGCACTGTTGGACAAGGTCTCCAGGAGAGACACCGGACAGAACTGGGTGACAGGAGCACCTCAGCTTTCCTAGGCTTTTCACAGGAGCGATGGCGAGGTGTGGTGCCTACTCTTCCCCAACAATGCATGACTCGGTGTTTTCAAGTCTTCGCCATCATTTAGTGATATGGGACTTCCAGCATTTGCCAAGAACGACTGGGAAGTGGTAGTTACTTCATTTACATTTGTGTTTGTGTTTTCCTCCTTAAGGAAGTTGAGTGTCTTTTCACATTTACAGTACTGACACCAGGTTTCTTCCCCTACGAACTTCCTCTTCGTATTCTTCATCAGTGTTTTTGTTGTAAGGTCTTTTTCTTATCGGTTTACAGGCGTTTTGGAAAAAATATATTCTGGGGGCCATGCTTGGTGGTGCATGCCTCTGATCCCAGCTATGTGGAGGTAGCTGGATAGGTAGGAGGATCACAGACTGAGGCTACCCCTGCAAAAACCTGAGACCCTACCTGAAAAATAAGTAAAGCCAAAAAAGGGCTGGGGGCATGGCTCAAGTAGTAAAGTGCCTGCCTAAAGCTTTGAGTTCAAACTCCAGTACCCACACAAAGCTATATATATATATATATATATATATATATATATATATATATATATACTGGATATTAGCCCTGTTACCAAACATTTACTGTAATTACTGCTATGATATCTTTATTTTTAATTGACACATAGTAATTGTATGTATTTATGGGGTACAGTGTGACATCTCAACATTCCATACAAGCATACACGGGCAACTGGCATACTAGTTACCTCTGACTTTTATCATTTCTTTGTGTTGGGAATATTCAAAATCCTTCTACTAGTTTACTAGCTTCTTTTTGTTGTTGTTGTTATTTTTAGCTTCTTCTTCTTCTTCTTTTTTTTTTTTTGAGGCTTATGATTCAACTCAGGGCCTCACCCGCGGGAGGCAAGTGCTCTACCACTGAGCTACACTCCCAGCCCTCTGCTAGCTATTTTGAGATATTCGATTAACTGTTGTCAACCTTAGTTATCCTACTGTGCTATAGAACATTAGAAGTTATTCCTCCTATGATATGATTGCACTTAAATCTACCATCTTATGGTTCTTTTCTGTGTGATTTAAGGTGAAATCCCTCTACCCCCTCTTTGCCAGTTTATGGACTGAGTATTTTTAAGAAATTCTGCTTTTATATTAATAGTCTACTTTCTAAAGTACTTTTTGTTTTTCACCATTCACATAGTAGTTAAATCTTATTTTATAAGGTTTCCCCAAGTTTAATGATATATTTATATCTATATCTATATCTATATCTATCTATCTATCTATATATCTTCAATTTTTTTTTTCCACTAGGAAAAAAAGTTCACTAGCCTTGAACTGATCGGGGTGGAGCCCTGACCCAAAGGTAGAGTGCCTGCCTCTCCGAGTTCAAATCCCAGTGCCACAAAACTTTTAAAGAACTTCTGATCCTCCTGCCTCTACTTCCCAAGTGCTGGGATTACAGGCATTTACCATCACACCTGGATATATCTTTAATCTTTTTTAATTTTATTTTTATCATATTATTGTTGTACTGAGGGTACATTGTGACATTTACAAAAGTGCTTATAATATACCTTGTTAAATTCACTCCCTCATCATTCTCCTCTTAGAACAGTTTCAACAGTTCTCATTTTTGCATATTCATACATATTCACCCTCGTTTGTCTTTTCCTATCCTTTTATCTGCCCCCCACTGGTACCAACCCCCAGACAAGACCTGTTTTGCCTTCTGGTCATTTTGAAAAAATGACATTTTTTGTTTGTTTAAGATAGCTATACAGGTGGTCATTTTATATCCCAAATTGGTTCATCTCCTACCTTTAAATTTTTTTTGGGTAGCACTAGGATTTGAACTCAGGGCCTCACACTTGCTAGGCAGGCACTCTTACAACTTGAGCCACTTAGCCAGCCCTTTTTTGGGAGATGGATTTTTTTTTTTTTTTTGAGATAGGGTCTCATGAACTATTTGCCTGAGCTGGCTTCAAACAGGGATCCTCCTGATCTCTGCCTCCTGTGTAGCTAGGATTACAGGCGTGAGCCAGGGCTCCTATCTTTAATCTTTTAACAGCCTACTTCACATCAACAGTACCACTTCCCATCTGTTGCAGTAACCTATTAAGGTTACCATCTTTTTGTTATTGTTATTGTTTGCATACATTTATGATACTTGGTATCCACGGGGGATTGGTTCCAGGATCCTGGAAATAGCATAGTATTTGAATATAACCTACACAAATGTCCCATATACTTTAAAGCACAACTAGATTACTTATAATCCTTAAAACAATGTGAACACTAAGTAAATTGTTATTATATGGTGTGGTTTAGGGAATAATATCAAGAATAAAAACTTCTATACACGTTCAGTGCAGCATAATTTTTTCCCCAAATATATTTGATCTGAGGTTTGTTGAATCTGCAGAGCAGAACTGCAGTCTCCCCATTTATCCATGGCTTTAGTTATCCATGGTTAACTGTAGCCTGAAAATATTAAATGGAAAATTTCAGAAATAAACAATTTGGGGGCTGGTGGTGTGGCTCAAGTGGTAGAGCACTTGCCTAGCAAGTGCAAGGTCCTGAGTTTAAACACTACTACTGCCCAAAATAAATAAATAAATAAATAAACAAAAAATTTGTAAGTTGAATTGCACACCATTCTGAGTGTGATGAAATCTGTTTCAGTCTGGACATGAATCATCCCGTGTTCCAGTGTATCCACACTGTCTATGCTACCTTTAGGCACTCAGTAGCCCTCTTTATCATCAGCCTAATTTATAAATTAAACTTCATCATAGGTATGCATGGGTAGGAAAAAACATAGCATATACAGTTGGCCCCATGGATTCTGGATCCCCAAATTCAACCAATCTTGGATCCAGAATATTTTTAAAATCGCATCTGTACTGAACATGTACAAAATTTTTTCCTTGTCAATATTCTTTAAACAATACTGTGTAACAAGTATGTACATAGCAATAGATTATATATATTAGGTACTATATGTAATCTAAAAATGATCTAAAGTATGTGGGAGGATTACATAAATATTTTACCATTTTGTATAAGGGACTTGAGCATTCTGGAATTTTGGCAGGGAGGACCTGTACTATCTGAGGTTTTAGGCATCCATGGGGGGCCTTTGCATCTCCCCTGTTGCATCTTGCAGCAGTTCCTTCTTCTCTGTTTCTCAGTATTTTGTTTCATACGGTGACATGTTTAATATGAAGTTACTTCTATAATTTTGTATACTCTTGATATATTTTCTCCCTCAGTATTACCAAGCATATATTTAAACGTCAATATTAAATATTCTGTAATCAGCTGAAATTTTGTTATGACCTTATTTTAGTAAGTGTTGTTCTAAAAAACAACATTGTTTTGTATTTTCTTCAATAAATTTTTATTCTCTTTAAAAAGCATTCTATTTACCATTTTATTTATTTCTAACTTTATCACATTGTGTTTTAAAGAGCAGTCTGAAGGACCAGGGATGTAGAAGAGCACTTGCCTAGCATGTATAAGTCCCCAGCACTGGGGAAAAAAAGGCAGTCTAAATGAAATAAGTTATTTGGAATTTGTTGTGATTTGCTTTGCAGCCAGTTTTTGTAAATTCTTGAAAAGAGCATAAAGTCTCTAATTGTTTAGATAAAGCTAGTTAAAATGCTTTTCAGATTTTCCTATATCTTTACTAATTTTTATTTATTAATTACTGAAAGAGGTATATGGAAATATCCCATTTCCCCATAATGGGAGGTGCTGGTGGCTCATAGCTGTAATCCTTGTTACTTGGGAGGGAGAGATCAGTAGAATCATATTTCAAAGTCAGCCTGGGCAAATAGTTCATGAGACTCTATCTCAAAAATACCCAACGTGCACAAAATAAACCAGGGTTGGTGGAGTGGCTCAGGTTGTAGAGTGCCTGCCTAGCAAGTATGAGGACCTGAGTTCAAGCCCAGTGTCACCAAAAAAAAAAAGGTTGGGGGAATTTCACTGTGACGTGTGTGTTTTTTTTTTTTTTGACACTGGAGTTTGAACTCAGGGCCTCATGCTTGGTAGGCAGGTGCTCTCACCACTTGAGCCACTCTGCCAGACTTTTTGGTTTTTTTTTGTGATGGGTTTTTTCAAGATAGGGTGTTGAGAACTATTTGCCTGGGTTGGCTTTGAACCATGATCCCCCTGATTAGCTAGGATTACAGGCATGGGCCATTGGCTCCCAGCTCATTGTGATAATTCTGTATGTGCTGCTTTAGGGTTTTTTTTTTTTTTTTCTCAGTACTGGGGCTTGAACTCAGGGTCTACACCTTGAGCCACTCCACCAGCCCTTTTTTGTAAAGGGTTTTTTTGAGATAGGGTCCTGTGAACTATTT